ATTTAAATCATACATCTTTTCTTTTAATAAGAACTGAATTTACTTGAATCAATATGAAAATAAAAAGATTAAACAAATCCAATATATTTTAAATCAGCTTTTAATAGTTATTTAGTTTCTTAAATAAATTTTAATTTGATTTTCTTCAATTTAAATTAAAGTTCTGTATGCATTTATCTATAGGTTGTAGAGAATACAATAAATTATAATTCCATAAAGTAATAGATTAAATTACTTATTAATAATAAAAAACTAATCACATTAAATCCATCCCATTTTTCTGCTACTGTGTTATAAAAACCTTATATAAAGATTTATGGAATAGTTTAAATTGTCATTGTAATCATCATTGAGACTAGAGCAACTCTGTGAAATATTAAATCCCTAAATATATTTACAGGTTTTGTTCTTTTTTTAAAAAGCATACATGGATTTCTAAATTTATCTTCTCCACTTAATTACAAGTATTTATTAATTTCACTAAATGAAAACTATTTAATTGATTTATCTCTTTTGAAATAATAAATAAAAGGAGCTAATTTAAAATAACTCAATGCTCCCATAAACAAATAGTATATATAGTTCAAAATATCAATACAAATGTGTTGTTTTTCAACTTCCCTGAATTTATATGTGTACATCCAGACTCCACAATGAAGTAAAACACAAAAAAGTATAGAAATAATATAGCAGAGCTTAAAATATGACCATAATTCATTATATGAATCGTAAACTAATGTAAAGATAAGTTCAAGTATATTTAATAGATATATAAAAACTTGAAATCCTATTTTAGCATAATATTTATATATGCTTGAGCTTCTCTTAACCTCGTTAAAGCGATTTTCTATTAATTCTTATAGTTCACTAATCAAATTTTTATTTTAATGAGGTTCCCAAACTAAAGCAGGATCAGGAGTAGGTTTTAAATATTTAAAAATTGAAAATTAAGCTTTTTATTCTTTGTCCTTATGTGATTTATTGCCTTATTTCTAAGTAGAATTTAAAGGCTATAATTAAAAATACAATTTACAAATTCTTCTGGCTTTTAATTACCTTCTTATTGTACTAATATAGAATTTTCAGCTTCTGTCATTTGGGTTTTTATTTGTTTTATTGGCTATTTGATTTGATTTTATCTACTTTGTTTTTTTTATGACATTTATTTTATTACAATGAAAAATTACATATCATTTATAAATAATTATTTGGCTCAGAATTTTTCAGAAAAAAATTATTCCATAGAATTTGAGCTTGGTTAAACACTTTTTCTCTTCTTTTATTATTAAAATCAATATTGTTTAGTAAGGATTTTTAACATCTTTTTTTAAATGTAGGAAATCATAAGTAGAGTGGATAGATTGTTTATTTTATTCAATTAATATTTAAATAGGTATTTATTTATCTATATTGCTCCTTTTAGTTAGAATGAGAATGGTAGATCCCATTATTGTTATTTTTCAAAATCTATAATAATTAAAAATATAAGACCTAATGAAACGATATAAATCTAAATTGGATGAATTTAGCTCACTTAATCAACTAAATTTAAGACTACAATTAATGCTAAGTAATATAGTTACCTCATATTTAGAGGTTTAATTATGCAATAAAATTATTTTATGATTATTAAAAATAAATTATCAAATAATATACAAATATATTTTTTTAATTAAATCATAATACTCAACTGAAAATTATTATACTAAAAAATATATTTAGAGAGTAATTTTTTTTATTTT